TTTCCTTTCCCGTTTCAGGACGGTCGTCGAAGAATCGCGGGGAGAAGAGGGGGCGGAGGGGGGGGGGAGGGGGGAATAAACGACTCGCGGATAAACGTGGAGACAATAGTTATCAATAGCACTCTGCGCATACCGCCGCTTGATCTGTGCCTCGCGTAGGGTTCTCGGGAGGCGTTCATCCGATGGCGAGCTGCCAAGCAGACACAATCCATACTATAAATACTGCTGCACATCACTGTCCCATGCTGGCGCACCGTATCTTACCGGTTCGTTTCCGTTCCGTTGCGACTTCGCCGCTTCTGCAACTTTTCGCATGCGAGATTTCATCCCGCGTTTCCTCAACATGACCAAAACGACGGCCTCAGCGCGTTAGATAAACGCTTGACTCACAAGCGCCGTCATCTCGCTCTCCAGATGGAAAAGATCTCGTCGGTCGAAAGTCGATTACAGCCTGTCACTTCTATCTATTCTAATTCGGGAGATTTTAACAAAAACAAGATAGATTTTAATAATAAAACACAGACACACCGCGCAGACGGGAATTTATATATTTAGTAAAATAGGATATCTCCCATACGAAAAAAGTAGAAGCAGAAGAAAGAAGATAATTAATAGATAATTAGCGAATAAAATAATTTATTTTTCTTTCAGTTAGATGCATTTAAGGATTAATTTCATATAAATTTGTTTAATACAAATAAGAGGTAAATGCGTCAGTTTTCAACTATTGTTGGAATCAACATTTATAAGGCAATAAATAAAAATTATGGAAAAATATGGAAGGAGTTTGGAAGGTTCAATCTCTCACCGAAATGTACAAAAAATTATAGTTATAATTTATAATTTACAAAACCTAATATTTTTCTCAAAATTTTCTTCAAAATTAAAAGCAAGGAAAGCTATTCTAAGCTGTAAAGTATCCGAAAATTCATTAACGTAAAAAAATGGCTGTTTATGTATGAACAGAATTGATAAAAACCTTGTCTGAAAAAAAATCTTGGATACATCCCTGCGAAAAGATAAATTAGTTGTCATCAAAGAAACAGAATAATTCGTAACGGAGTAATTGTGATAGCGTGGTTAACGTAATCGTCGTGAAAACTGCAAGCTCTGCGATCATTCTCGAGACGGTGGTGAACGGAGGTGAACGCACAAATTCTTATATTAGCACAAATTCTCGTTGCAGGACTTTCGGATTAATGGCGGCCGTTTATTCGACTCGCGCCCAGACTGCAAGTGGTCGATATCGGTTTTCGGTGCGGAGTGGCGTCTCCGAAGGGACGGTACGTCGCGAGCGAAATCAATCGTTTTAATACGACGCAGGTAAAAACATTAATGGCACGCCGAAAGAGAAAGAGAAAGAGAGAGCAGCGGTAGCGGGAGAGCGAGCGAGACACGGAAACGAGGACACGGAAGAGACGAGCGAAAGGAGTAGAGGAAAGAAAAAGGGGGAAAAAAAAGGGAAGAAAAAGATGGAAGAAGAAAGAGCAGTGGCGGAGAGTAACGTTTATTGGACGTTATTAAATATAATGCCGCGAGGCGTGTGCCCCTTCGGGAGAGTTTTCCGATAACTTCGTAATTTGCTAAAAGGAGCCCCAGCTACGGGACTTTTAAGATGTACCGCTTCCTTCACGATGTCTCCCGTCGGTCTACTATTTGTTTTCCAACGAGGTTTGTTACCAAGCTCTCCGAACAACGTAACGTCATATGTTCTATTTTCTTTTTCGTCGTACATTCAAAGGGAAAATCGCCGGGCGTCGTAACGATACTTTTTGCACGTTTGCGATACTAATTCGCTTAGTCACGTCGGCCATATCTCGTTACCTTAATCCCTTCGTGTTCTAATAGGACGATATGCATTAGCTGAAACGGTCTTACTTAATAATGAAACGGTCTTACTTAATATTTCAATGTATTATCATACCGTTACAAAATCATTTGCGCTTTATTCTATCCGATCCGCTTTGCCGAGTAACTGCGATCGATGATTATGTTCATAATTGATCACAATCGGGATTCAAATAATTTCCGAGTAAAATATTGATGCCACGTCGATAATATCCCCGTATTACTCCCGTTAATTTCCCCCTCCCCGAACACCCGTATTTAACGGGAAGATAGATACGCGTTGCAAAGCGAGTCCATTGATACTCCAACTAAGAGCCATGGCGTGTCATCCTAATGGCGGCGTCGGCGAGTGAAATTTACTTGAAAATCGCGTTAGCCGCGAAGTTTCGGCCGTCCCAGTATTTCCGGCGGAGATTATCACGAGAGGGATCTCTCGTTGCACAACGACGTGCTCTCAAATTGAATTGAGATTACGGGGGCACGCCCCGTCATGCGTATTCTCTCCGAGATAGAACAGATTTCGTACGCGGAGAGACATGGCGATGCACTTCATTCACTGTCAAATTTCTATTAAATGCGACTACCGATCTCCAACGTACCTTGTTACTTCCGAGTAACATTTTCTCAGCAAGTTATTTCACGTGTTTTATGATACGATTATCTCTTCTCTTATTTCAATAGCAATCAAATAATAATAATAATTTTATTAAAGTATACAATAATAAAAGTGGAATATTGTAGAGGAAAAATAGAGTAGAAACTAGAGTGAAAGGATGAGACGTCAATTTTCGTTAATAAACGTTTTCGTTGTTTACAAATCTAAATCTATAACAACACATTTCTCAAACTTATATGTTATTTGACGTGATCCTCTAATACACACAAGAAAAATAATTTTACTGAAGGATTTTTAGAAATTTGGCCTGATACAAATTTGAAAAATAACTTTGTTAATTCTTCTAATAATTGTAATAAGATGTTCAAATTGATTACTAGAATAAAACATTTTGCAGTATTATCATCACGTAATTAAATATCGTATATAATAATTTTGATGGTTTTCAACCAAATTATTTCTTAGATCTGCATCTGACCAAATTTTTAGATTCTTCAACAAAACTGCCCTTTTCGTATTTTTTGATGATGCAGTCAGTGTGTTTCGCGATTAATTTCTTTCTCGTTTTTTTTCTTTTTCATATCGCGACGAGAAAGGAACGCAAGCGTCTTCAACGTGGAAGAGTTATGGCTCCAACGGGTTAGAGTAAGCGGCAATTATTCGCCGGAGCGTGTTTTAGCAGGGATACGAGGGTAGGTTGCAGGTAACAGAACGCGTTATGGAACTTCATGATTCGCCCCGGCTGCATCTAGAGTAGATCGGTTATCACTTTGGAGGCTTAGCCAAGGATCCGTGCAAATTGAGCGCTGTATCCGACCCGTCTTAAGGTACCTCCTCCTCGTGTACCGCCTCTTTGAGATTCTGGAATTTGCGCTCCGCGGGGTGTGAGAGCAAGCGGATAAGTGGATATACCCTGACTTAATCGATTATCCATCCTGCCGTGCGACGAGCGCATCCTCCCGGGATATTTGCGACACGTCGATGTGTTTACCTACACAACCCCCCCGCTGTTAGATGTAAAATTAGTTTTTCCACGGCGATCGCGACGCGCTAATGCGACGAAGGCTAATGCCCCGATTTAGATCGCACCCTTCGGTCGCGGCGATTAAGCGCTTTAATTTCCTTCCTTCCTTCCTTCCGTCCTGCGATCCTTCCCGCTTTTTAATCCACGGCTTCATTCCCTCCCGCAGGAAGGATCACAAATTCCGGAGGAGGTTGTATACAGTGCGAAATATTATCCACAGTTAAATAAGTAATATATTAAGTCTCCACCCCACGTTTTGCTTCTCGTCGAGATGTCGAGCAACGACTCTGCCTCGCTTCCGATCCTTGTCTGTAGCCGAGAACTTGCGGAGCACACACACACACACACACACACACACACACACACACACACACACACACACACACACACACACACACACACACACACACACACACACACACACACACACACACACACACACACACACACACACACACACACACACACACACACACACACACACACACACACACACCTGTACGAAATACATTTTGATAGACTTTATTTAATATAAGTCGGATTCTTAAATTTTTTACAATCGATAATTCCTATTACTTTATTTTATCGATTAACGTTGAACGATTATTTATAATTTCACGAATATCCAAATTCGGATTTCGTTCATTTCTCGTTCATCTATTAATTTTGATTGAATTATCGCGCGATAACTAAAGATCGTGTTAACGAGAAAGAGAGTCTGTCTTATCGTTAATTCACGGGGCAAAATTCAACGGCAGGATCCGGGAATGCGTAGCGACGATGGAACAATGTATGCTCGCCA